GGACCCGGGACCGATTTACTTTTTCGTTTGGAGGTCCATAGAGGCCAAAAACGCCATCCGTTCAAATTCATACATATATATTTATATATGTGTCCGTTAGCGCGATAACTCGAGCAAAAATCATCCGATTTTGATAAAATTTGGTACAAACGTGTAAACCTACGTTTATTCGAACGAGTTCGCGAACCAGCATGATCGGACTATGGGAACAGGGGTTTATGGGGGGTTTTATGGGGTAAAAATTGGTTTTTCCCATTTTTGACCCTAAAAACTTAAAATTTAGCATTTTCTTTCCTAACCATTTTGTAGAGCTTAAAAAACAAATAATTTAGTATATTGAAACGTTATTATGCGCCTAATGGTTACGGAGAAAATTCAAAAAATCGGCCAATTTAAAATTCCCATGTTATTCTTAGGGAGAATAAGTAAACTGTTTTAGTTTGCTTGTTTATGAACATATTTTGATAGAATTAGGAAAAAAAGCATTAATTTCATACTTAACTATTAACATTTTACAAAAAACACCCTTTTACGCTCCCTGTTGCAGCAAACCTAAGTAGTCGTTAAACTAATGTTATTTAAATCTATCTAATATATAAAATTCTCGTGTCACAGTGTTTGTCTGCAAACTCCTCCGGAACGACTTCACCGATCGTTATGAAATTTGGTGTGTAAATTCTGTAGGTATGCGAATCGGACGTAAACTATTTCCCGTTTCGAAATTCTTAAAAGGGCTCCGCCCCAGTGGCTCTGGAGTTTCCCATGTTAACCTTATGAGAAATGGAATTAATGAATCTTAACAGCTGTTTTAATTAAACAAGTTGGTTCTGTTCTATGATGTTCAATAGCATTAAAGTTACAAGGATTACCAACAGGGTGCAGCACTATTATTTCTTTTACATTTATGACAACAGCTAATTTGCAACCAAAAGGTGAGTGAGCGTAGCGAACGAACTTCAACCTGGAGGCGAGTGAGCGTAGCGAACGAGCTAACCTGAAGGCAAGTGAGCGCAGCGAACGAGCTCCAACCTAAAGGTGAGTGAGCGTAGCGAACGAGCTCCAACCCAAAGGTGAGTGAGCGTAGCGAACGAACTTCAACCAGGACGTGATTGAGCGATGCGAACGAGATCATCTTGAAAATTAAACGTAACGGTACTTTCTTTCCATCGGTCTGTCTTAGGGGAAACCTATAACTTAGGCGATACGAAGTTCGCCGGGTCAGCTAGTCTATATATATAATTTTGTAAGACAAAATTTTTACCAGAAAATTGTGGATGTCTGGTAAGTCGCAGAAAAGTGGGAGAGGTCTTAAATTAAAGGTCTTGACCCCAGGGACTCGGGAAAAATAGCAGAATTCCCATAAAGTTACCAGAAAACGAGATATAACGTAAAATATCCACCATAAGAAATGCATGGGGACTGAAAAACGTCTGCAGTCTATCAGCTGTTACTTATTTATTTGCAATGTTGACATTTATTCCGAAAGTCAATGTTGGTAAATAATGTTTCAAAATGAATTCAACGGAATTCAACTTTGGGGGACCTCGAGCAAATCCAACATCGAAATTCTTGAACGATTTCAGGCTAAGGCACTGAGAAGAATTATTGGCGCACCCTGGTTCGTATCCAACACTACAGTTAGGAATGACTTCAAAATTAAATCAGTGAAAGAAGAAATTACAGACCTTAGCAAAAATTATCAAGAAAAATTAGAATATCATCCGAACAGTCTTGCTTTTAATCTGCTGGACAATAGTCAGTGCATTACCAGGTTAAAAAGTGTTGTGCATGTGCTGGACCTAAGCTACAGATTTCTGTAAATATTTAAATGACTGATCCAATTTTTGGCAAGACTTGTTGATGAACAGGTGCTTGCTTCCTGACATTGTTTTGATATATGTTTTACTTATTGTTCTCATATTTGAACAGATTGTAAAATAAATTCTGATAAAAAAATGAATTAATTGTATTTGTTTAATTTTTTTTGTTTTCCGGTTTTATAATGAGTGAAGTAACTAGACAAGCAGGGTAGGGGAAGACCTGCAAGACGTGGAAGAGTGTCCAGGAATTCAACAGATTTAAGAAATGCTGAAAGAGAATGTCATGTAGGGCCTAAGTGTGAAAGAAATCCAGAAGCTGTTTTACAACCTGTCTTTAGTAGAACGCTGGAAAATGAGTTGAGTGTTGTTACTCACAATCTAGGTCCTCTTAACAGCACTTGCATGTATTGTGGCGCATTTCACTTCGCAGAGGAGGCCACAAATGGACATTTCAACGCATGTTGCCACAATGGACATGCCACAACCACAAGTAAATGACGAACTAAAAGAACCGTTTTTACATGATTCGAACTTCATAAAAAACATAAGACAATAAAACAGTGCAATGGCTTTTTCGTTGCTTTCCGCTACACAATAAGAGATTCCGGGAAATGGGACTTAATGGTTTAAAATTAAGGTAGCCTACAAATTCATAGATATATTTCCGAGTTACTACCGCGAAATGGGGAGTTAATAATTAATAATAATTTTAACCTTTACATTTGGTTCTCAAAATGGAAACTATAGCAGAATTCGTAAGATTACAAAACAAATCTTCAAATTTTAACTAGAAAAGATGTGCTGTATGATTTCAGCTCTGATTCGTCGTTGTCCGGGCTCAGGCCAAACCGTGTGCACGTTTCCATTTGTTAATATGTTGTGTTATTGATTTAATCATTATTTTACAATTGTATTTCATTGACACATCAGAAGCAACTAATAATATACGACTCCAACGGAAGGAAAACCAAGATATAAAACAAGAAACACTGTTAATTTTAAGTAACATAGAATTTATAATCTTAAAAACATATATCGAATATTTGTCTTTTTACATATGGTTTTTTTTTTATTTTAGTCTAAATTAGGGGCTATGGCCCCTACAGGCCACTAGTAAGGAATAAAGGTGATATTTTAAAGGAGAAATTTTAGTGTAAATCCAATCAGTCAAATGGAAATTCGCTTGGTCTGCAGGTTTGCTGCGGTGTGGGTATTTAGTCAAAATTACAACCTCAGTTTTGCATGTTTTATCTATGGTTTTGCTCAGAGTGAGCGAGAGACCATGTTCTGCCATTAATGCGTTAATGGTGCTGCACTTTTGACTTGAGCTGTTTGTAAAGTCAAGTGTTATTATTATTATGAAAATGAAAGTGCTGAGAAGTATTGACAAATAAATACTGTGTGCTTATGAACTATTTATGAAGTTTTAGATGTTCACCTAACATATTTTTTCGGATTCCTGAAGAAAGAGCGATATTGTTAATAAAGGCCTAGTAGGTTGAGTTGTGTGTGAATTTGTTTTTGCCATGAAATTGTTTTTTTCATACTAGGCTAAGCTATCAATAAACACACCTTGTAATCAAAAACAACTAGCATAACTATAATAATATAGGTACTACGTACCTTTTATTATGGTAAGATATATAGTAAGTTTGTTTTATTTAAATAAAATTTTAAAGAATTACGATAAATGGGGAAACTGTGTTCGAGAACCAGCAATGATCTCTGAGCAAGGGTCATCATTTGATACTGCAGCACTAAAAGCAGACTTGGCTTGTAGGGGTGTATGGGAGGTTCAGACGGAAGCATTATTCGATGTACGTGTCGTTGACACTGATGCTCCGTCGTACTTGAACCTCCCATACGAAAAAGTGCTGGAGAATGCAGAAAGAGAGAAGAAGAAGAAATATTTAACAATAACAGAAACCAGAAATAAATGCATCTTTTACCCCACTGACTAGTCACGTCTGTGGACGGAATGCTGGGCAAAGAGTTTCAGACCTTGCTCAGAGCAATGGCAGAACGCCTAACAGAAAAATGGAAGAAACCTTACAGTTTAGTGATGAACTGGATAAGGGTAAAAACCATCTGTGCGACGTTAGGGGCCAGCAGCATGTGTCTAAGGAGGACAAGGAAGAAGTGGAGGACCCTTAGAGAGTTTGAAGATGGGGCTGGAGTACCAGTTATTTATTAATTTAAATAGCAAATGTTTTATTATTTTTCCATGTCAAAATTGATTGTGTTTTGCTTTTTAAAAAACTTAATTCAAGGAATGGATAAAAGTTACAGCTGAAAGCTGTGAGAAGCTGATACCAATGCTATACACATCATATAATACACATCAGAAGTAACAGTACAGTTACCTCGGAAAGTGCTCCAAGAGCTTTCTGCGCATGCTCAAGCTGAGATAGAGATGCCCCGTGTGCGTGTGGGTACAGACAGAACGCCAAGTAGAAGTAAGTCAAGTCAGGTATTTACTTAGGTGAGGTATAGATGAGGTTACGATGACAGCTGTGGGATTCTCATTAGCAGAGGGAACACCATTACCGTAACAATACGGTTCCAGCCATCGGCCTCGGTGGTGCAGTGGTTAGCGTGCCGAGCTGATATGCTGAAAGTACCGGGTTCGAATCCCGCTTGTGGCGCTAACTTTTTGACTTAGATTTTTTCATTATCAGCAAGTTTGGTTGGTTTGGTTCGGTTATGACAGTTTAATTTTATTATTACTTAAGTCATTATAAAATTTTAATTGAGCAATTTCTAGTTTTATTTAATGAACAGAATTATTGTTTCTATTAATAAACTTGTTTATATTATTTCAATATCAGCAAAATTGGTTAGTTCGGTTAGGTTATGATAGTAATTTTATAATAAAAAAGTTATAAAACTGAATTTGAGGCATTTATAATTTTATTTTATGAACAGAACTATTTTCACGATTAGTAAACCTACATTGCCAAAATGCTCTCTACTACAGCGCTGTTCACGGAGGAGTTTTGAACTAATGCCTCAATCGTACCTCCCCTAAGTCAGACCCGTCCAGTCCATGCGTCAAGTCAACACTCAACAGGGCAAGAAGTCAAGAAGATGAAGAAGGTAGTTTTGAGAATGAAGAAGAATAAGAATGATTCAATGATTGAAAAAATGGATTTTGGGAAGGTAAATATTGATTATAACATTTTTATAACAATTACAAATAAGTTATAGCTAGTTGCTAGTTAGAAGTTAGAAGAAAGAATGAATGAAGTGAAGTGAGGTTGTCGCAAGGTAATTAACTTTACTCTTTTTAAGTGCTTGTGAGTTTTATTTTAGGCTTTTATTTTAGGTGCCGACGTCCGGCCGACCGGACGTTTTTAGAACGAGCCAAAAGTGCCAACGTCCGGCTGACCGGACGTTTCGTAATGATCGAACAGTTGTCATAACAACCGAATGGATACTCGGATTCTTTTAACCCATATATTAACATTGAGTTGAAAGTTACTAGATGCGATACATCGATTTTTGTTGGTCGAAATATCGAAAATTCGATTTTTACGAAATTTTAACCTAAAAATCGCCAGATCGCGCTCGGCATTTTTAGCGCGACCTTCGGGAAAAATCATCGGCACTTTTTGAGTGTTACTTTTATTTCTCGCCTGGCACTCTAAGGGTTAAGATTTGACAGGCGTCAGGGTAATGTTTTTGTTATAATAGGCTAGGTGAGATTGTGTTGTGCGTGTAACCTTCAGATAATAGGGTCCATCCAGTTTATAAATTCTTTAACAGTATAAAAGGGACGTTGGGACAGTCACTACTTCAGGTGAGATTTTACTTGGTTGGGACACACAGACTTCAGTTCTTCTGGTAGAATGTTGTAAGGGTAGATCTGGCTCCGGCGTAAGAAGGTTTTATCTCAAAAGACTTCCTGTGATGAAGGGGCAGGAATGAATTCTCACAGGTTGAAGTCTCCAGCATGCCTGGTGGAGATGGCTATTTCTTTTGAGGCTTCTAGAGCATGCAGAGTCCACAACTTCCAAGATGTATACGGCTACAACAGTGAGCATTCCCCAATCTCTGAAAGCCATTCTGCCAACCCAACCTTGCCATTGTTAGTATGGCTCTCTTCTGGAGTAGTAGGACTCTTTCCAGATTGGCGCAGGATGATGCTCCCCAGAGGGCTACTCCATACTTAATGTTACCGGTACTCTCGAAGAGGGCGAGGGAAGTGACTCTTGCTGTGTACTGGAGACCATGACTCTTGTGATTGTGAATAATGTGCTGCTTAACTTCATGCAGAGGATATCTAAATGGGGTCTCCATGTAAAGGTAGAAGGTAAAGGTGGAATTGATGGTCATCCCTAGATGTGTTGTAGAGCTCACGGTGTCAAGGTTCGGTAAGCCAGGAAAGGGTTTTTTACTGAAAGTAAGTTGCTTGGTCTTGTCTTCATCAAACACAAGGTTGTTATTTTGACAGTAGTCCAAAATGTTACATTCAGGGCAATGTAAGATTTGACTTTGAGAGCTTCCAAGGACTCGCTGGAGGATCAAGGCAAGTTTTGACATGATCAGATCATGGCCTAAGCAGTCACATGCCTTGCTTAGGTCAATGAAAATTCCGGTGACGGTCCCCTCCTCTTCTTAAAGGTTTATCACATGTTCACAAAGGTCCAACAGAGCTCATTATACTCAACGCTGAATCCGAAAATGACGTTCTTTTTCCGCGGAAAGCGACCAAAACTACCGGTTGCCTACCCAAAAAACATTTTTTACCAATGCAAGTCATGAGGGTACTCAAATTAACCGGAATAACAAGCAGATCATAAACATGCAAGAATCATCTTGATCTGACGTTGAATAAGCGATGTATAAGTTAGGATGAAATAATGACTTAGGCCTACTTAAGTTTAGGTTGGGTACTTAGGTAATTTGTGTAACTAGGGCCTACAGTCATTTTAAAATTCAGGACGTTATTTTGCATTTAAACTTAAGTGGAATAAATAGGCCTACTATTAGCCTACCTAATTACCGTTTTTTCACCCTTTACCCAAAAGGGATTGATGGCATCAGAAATTCAATATACATGAATACATTTAAAACAAACTGATATATAAAAACATACATTTAAAAAAACTTTGGCGTGTGGATATGCAGATTAATCAACAAATTCGGGAAATGTGTCGAAAAAAAAACTCTCTGGACTCAAGGAGAGGGACTAGCTTCCTCGTGAAAAATTTGCGCTCAAGGCACTTGATAGAATTTGTATTGCCACTATAGTAGGCCTATAGCTCTATTGAGATCATGCTAGCCTAACACTAAGTACATCCAGTAACACATGCTGCTTTGTTCAGTGGTCATTAAACGCTGAACGGAGTTGAAACTTATCGTGGTTGTCATAAGATAGATAAGTAGTGAGCATGCCAGGATGTAATGACTGTAAACAGTGAGGATTCCCTATCTTGCAAAGATGGGTTTACAATATAGTCCAGTAAATCTGTCAGAAAATATGGGGTTGCTGTGCAAAAGGTCGGATAGTTCTGATTTTTTGATATGTTGTTAGTATTGGGCCCATAACATAAAATCCAAGTTATCCACCTCGAGATACTGCCGCTCGCCGCGGGGCGCGCCACTTGTTATTGAAATATAAAAAATATGGCAATTCCTATTGTTTTTGACTCAATCTCGCGAACCGTTGATTTTACCGAAAATTTTATATTAGGCTATTACACTAAAGAAGAATAAATTTGTGACAGTTTAAGCCCAACAGCAAGTATGTAGCGTAAATAGGTAATGGTCAAAATACAAACCATCAAAATAAATAAATTTTCCAAAGACATATAAAAATTGTGGTTTTTTTCAATATTTCCACAGTATAGTTGTTTGAAGCAAAAACCGTATTGATTTAGAGAGTATGCCAGTTTATTTGCTATTATTAGAAAATAAATGAAAGTATGAATAAAAGTACCCCCACCTCAGCAAATCTGCAGAATAAGTGAATTTCCATTTGCTTTATTTGATCTTCACAAACCTATTTAAATAACATTACGTTTAACTGGTACCTAGGTTTGCTGCTACAGGGAGGGTAATCTATATATATAAAAGGCAAAGCCCTCACTGACTGACTCACTCACTCACTCACTCACTCATCACTAATTCTCCCACTTCCCATTTACCTAGGAGGCTGAAATTTGGAACACTGATTCTTTAGGCATTAAATAGGAAAACTAAGCTATTTTTATTCTGATCGGACTCTTGGGCTCCGCCCCAGTGGCTCTGGAGTTTCCCATGTTAACCTTATGAGTTTTCATATTTAAATGGAATTAATGAATCTTAACAGCTGTTTCAATAAAACAAGTTGGTTCTGTTCTATGATGTTCAAAGTTACAAGGATTACCAACAGGGTGCAGCACTATTATTTCATTTACATTTATGACAACAGCTAATTTGCAACCAAAAGGTGAGTGAGCGCAGCGAACGAACTTCAACCTGGAGGCGAGTTAGCGTAGCGAACAAGCTAACCTGAAGGCAAGTGAGCGCAGCGAACGAGCTCCAACCTAAAAGTGAGTGAGCGTAGCGAACGAACTTCAACCAGGACGTGATTGAGCCATGCGAACGAGCTCACTTATGAAGTGGGGCAAAGCCCGCGGGTACAGCTAGTATGGTATATAAAATAATAATAGTATGATAAGAAACAAATAAATTTACCCAATTTTATAAAAATGTGTCTATAAATAAGGAAAAAACAATAATTAAAAATCTTCCCTTTTGGAATAACTTGAGGTTTTTTAATTTACATGTTTTAATATTCTCCGTAACCAAAAACTGTAAAAAACATTTTAATGTACTAAATTATTTGTTATTAAGTTCTAAAAAATGGTTTAGAGATACATTGTAAAATTGTATGTTTTGTGGGTCAAAAATACGAAAAACCAGTTCTTAACGAAAACCCCTATAAAGCAACCGTTCCCATGGCCTGATCATGCTTTGCGAACTCGTTTTAATAAATGTAGGTTTACATGCCGAAAAACAGACTTTCAAAATATACCTTCAATGGCAAAACTACTATTCCCAAAGCTGTCAAATGTTTATACATAAACATTTAAGCTAAGCTTTGGGTGCAATACTTTCACATGAAAACAAAACAAAAAAGTTTAACATAGTTAACAGTTTATTGAGGCTGAAAGATTAGGCAAATAAGATCTTCCAATTACAATCACTCTACAGATCTTCAATGCAGCGGGTAATTTTTCCACGCCAAGTGCGCCCATCTATACAGGACATGCTGAATATGAATTGAAATACAGGATTGATATTGAAGAACACAAAAAATTCACAAAGATCGAAAATTTCACTACAAGACATACAGACAAGTTCTGGTGTGGAATTTGGTCTGATTAGGCCATCGAACAGGCCCTCATAAAGACAATGAAAAGCTCTGGTGGATTGACTCGAGGACGAGGGATAACAGACAAAATGTTGTAACTTGATGGGCGCTTGGGATGATCCGTCCTCATCAAATCTGTAGGAAGTTGAGAAATATTGAATAGTCATTGAATAGTCATTTTAAAAATGATGTCAGTTGAACATTAACAGTGAGCAACATGTTGACGTGCGTCATTCTCGCATTGCTCGAGACAACGAAATTGATGAAAAGATTAAATAGTGGTTTCCTCAACACACACCATTTAATATAAATGATATGCTGATTATTAGCAAATTTCCCTTATAGGGAATACGCTATTACAGTAGGTCTAATTGTAAGACCAAGACCCGTGACCAATTTACTTTTTCATTTGGTATTCCTAGAGGCCAAAAATACTGTTGGTTAAAATTGTTATAACATATATAAATATATTTGTATATAGGCCTACACCGGGTGTCCGAAAAAGACTCCATAGTTTTAAACATACCTCACGATACTATTGTTCAAATGTAAGAGTAATAATCATTTCGTGCTGTGTAGAGTATACTTCAAAGTTTTAGTTTCGTACGTTGGCAATAAGTTGCGTACACCTATTTGACCTTGAACATAGTTTTGGTAATAAATTATAATACAAATAATAAAATATTAATGATAAAAATGAGTAAAAATAGTTTGCATGTCTGCAGGACTACAAATGGTTCGCATATTGAGGTGTGATAGTGTTAAAATAACATTTATTTAATTACCTTTCATTTAATGTACAGCATAGCCTTCTCTATGGTATCAGTTGTTGAACAGTAGTTTGTATCTAGTACAATCAATAAATATATTTTCAAACTAGGTGAGTTTTTTTGGAGACCCTGTATCC